AAAACAGATACACAAATTGAGACAATACCTGAAAACATTTTTTCTAATATTTTTTTTTTTTGTTCCAGCGAAAGTTAGTATAAATGAAGCCTTTTCATTAATTTATATGATATAAAATATACGTAGTACAATTTTTATTATATACAGAAGTTTTCCGAGATCATCAGGATTGGTATAGGTTGATGACTGAAAAGACCGATTGGAAGAGTTTTGTTAAAGTTGATCGGATGTGGGAGATCGTGCGAGTTTTTTGAGAGCTAGTGAGCAAAAAACAAGATTTTCAAAAAAACGAAAGATTCATCTTTGATAATAAGACTAGACTTTTTGAATAATTTTTTATCTACCGATTAATTATTATTATTATTATTGACACCTAACGACGTAATATTCTCAACTTTTCACGATTCAAGCACTTTTTACTATAAAGATACAGTACTGATATTTGTAGCTGCTTTTCTTTCACTCTTTTTAGATACGAAGATAGAACTTGCTTTGGGTAGATGTTCCATATTTTACTAGTTTAAAATTTCTTTTATCAGTTTTTATTTTGTACTTCAAACATTCTAAAATTCTCAAATGACAGAAAAAAAATTATTTGTTTCTTTATGTGTCATCCGTTATATGACAATCTTAGCAAATATAAAAAACACATGACGATAAGAGAAATGCGATATTTTTTTGTGCTCATTTTACTGTTATAAAGTAAATATTTGTTTACAAAAAAAGAAATTGTCAACTTGACATATTTAGTGAAAATCAAAGGAAAAAAGCGTATACATATTAAGGAAAATAGAAAAAAAGAGTTATTCTATCTTTTCTAGATATAAATAGGTACATGAAATCAAATAAGAAAAGTATAATTTATATTTGGTTATTATTAAATATTAATTCATGATGAATTTTGTCGATCATGAGATCGTTGCTCATGTCGAACAAGAACAGATTTTTCTGTCGTTTGAAATAAAGTAGCACGATTTTGATTTCGATGTTCGTCTTTTTTAATCCAATGTCCATAGAGAAGAAATGCTGTTGAATCAATCATCTTACGATAAGATTTAAATCGATATGGATTTTCTGTTAAAATAAAAAAGATAAATGAATTTAAAAAAAAAAGTAAAATAAAATATCATTTCTTTTTTTTTTTTGATCTTACCAAGTAAGTCTTTTCCTCGAATAGGTTGTGGCCTATAATGTAATGTTCTTAAACGATAGATTGACCAAACAAGAATAATATGTGCTTTAAGTGTCCTTTTAGGCATAAAATCTATTCGTCGTGTTCGTTCACTAATAAAAAATGGATGTTGAAGTGCTTGTGCAGCTGTATAACGTTCATCTGGATCAATAACTAACAAATGACGAATTAAATCTTTTGCTGTTTCAGAAACATCATCCCATTCTGAACCGGTCATTGAATATCGTCCTTCCATAATCATACGAAACATTAAATGTTGTTTACGATGCCAAAATGGTGGTAAACCACTAAGTAGTGTATATAAAATAACACCACATGCCCATAAATCAACTGGTAAACCATAACCAAGCCCCTCCTCATCCGATTGTGAACAACGAAGTAATTCAGGAGCCATGTAACCTTGAAAGAAATTTTTAAACTCTTTAGTGAAACATGATCTAAAGGAAGTATTGAAGTATAGGGGGTAAAAATTTGGACCCCTTTCCATAGACCGTGACGGACATAAACATGAGAACATCACGCACGTGGATCGACGCTAGCAAAGATGGCATCGGTTCGATTCGAACGTTTTAGAAAAACTAGGTCGATTTGGTTGCAAAAAACGCGAACTGATCTCATCTCTGGACACTAGTCAAAGATCATTATAGACCGGAACAAATGCTTTAGCAATAATCTCGCTCATGTGTGGCAGACCATGACAAATGCTAGTCAAAGACTGTCACAGGCAATGATAGATACCAATTAGAGACTATGACAAACTGTATATAAAAAACGTCTCGTTCTAATATATGAACTACTTCTTTATTGCATTTCTGGAGGACTAAATAAAACGATGATGAAGAAATGTGTTTCAAAATAGATAGAATAAAACAATGTTTCTGTGATTAGCAACAGCAACTGCATCATGTTTCACATTTTAATCCTGCAGAAATTGCGCTAACACATTTTTGAAATCGAGAAAATTATTATTTACCAGGTGTTCCAAAAAGATCATGTAAAGATACATTGTCAGTTACTTGAGCAGCAAAACCAAGATCGGTTATTTTAACATTCATTGTTGAATCCATTAAAATACTTAACAACAAAAAAAAAGCAAAGAAGATAATAAAATTTGATGATTATTTTTTTATTTATCTTACTTTTCTGGTTTTAAATCTCGATGAACAACATGATAAGAATGTAAATGCTGAACACCAGCTAATATACTTGACATTATTTGACGAGTACGTTTTTCTATAAATTGAAAAATGCAAATCTTTCTAAACATATAAAAAAAATAATAATAAAATTAAACCTGATAATCGAACAACTTTTGTTAAATAATCAAAAAGTTCACCATGTGGACATAGTTCCATAACAATAAATACATAATTTGGTGTTTCAAATGAAGCAATTATATCAATTATATTTGGATGACCACCAACTAATTTAAGTATTTGAATTTCACGTAGTGTAGCATCACGTGTTTCGTCATTATCATCATTAAATTCCATGATTTTACATGCATATTCTTTACCTGTGCCTTTTTCAACACATTTACGTACAACAGATGATAAACCTTTACCAAGTACTTCTTTAGGATCATATTTTTGATAGAATTGTCGAGCTTAGTAGAATAAAAAATTTATATTTCAATTTTTTTTTCTTTGAATCATACCACTTTCACGATCGGGTAATTCATCATCAATATCGAATGCCATTTTTTGCAGATTCTTGACTGAGATAGAATAAAACAAATATCTACATATAATAACACTGTTTTCGCTCCATTGCTAATCTAAAATTAGCAGAAAACAGAACCTATAAACAAATCGCAATATTTCATATTACTGTTGAATCGAACGATCATACATACCAATTCTTATTTGTTAACATCCACATAAAGATTTTATGTGGAATGGAATGAAACGAAAAAAAGATTGTTCGTACGACAAGCTGTTCTGACTTGTCTTATGAGATAAGATAAGCCTCAAAGATATTGTCTCACGTGGAGCGGGACTGTTGTAAAAATTGTTTCCCTCTTGGGACTCAATTAATATGAAATATTTCGTCTGTCATCCTATAGGACATAATCTTTGTTAAATATATTTTTATAAAAGTATAGTTTATTGATACTCCCTTCATTTAGACTAACACTAGTAAATATCACTTTATTTCATAACTCTTATTTGTACTTTCACAATGAAAAATGTGTAACTTTCACTCGATGAATACAGTACAGTAAAAATGGAGAAAAATCAGAACATATAGAATTGAAAAAAGTGTTTTCACTTACTCTCCTAGCTCATGTACTAATTGTTTAATGTTTAAAATGTCAACACAGTTTATATCCTTATTTAAGACAATCTTGTATATCAATATTGGTACTGACAAACCACTGTCCAGCACTGTATAAATTTTCTTTTAAGAATAGTACAAGATCAACCAGCAACATAATATAGACAGAGACTTTTCCAGTAGATACGTTGGTACTCATCGTGAGAATTTTCTTTTTTGTTTTTACATTTCTTCAAGTATCAGAGACTGAAATAAATAAGAAAATCTCGATTCAATTCGATTCATACAGAAAGCAAGACAATTCTTTCATTGTCCTAAGCAAAACTCATCTATATTGCGCATAAAATTTCACTTAAGTTTTCGTGTGTTTCTATACTAAATTTATCGATTAAGAGAAACTCGAAAGTTTCAAAAGCGGAGCTAACGTATAAATTAGGACTTGGATATTATTAAAAAAAAATGTTTTTTCTCTTATCGATCGCTGAAGACAGTAGTTTTTAAAGTTGCATAATTAACGCTGACATATTTATCTTCTTGGAAGAAGATGGACATGTTTGGAAAAGGAGTAAACTAACTTCTATTTTCAATCAAACTCTATCTCAATTCCTTGATCGAAACTGCAGTTAGTAATCCGTACTCTTTATTGGATCAATTTCGCAGTCTTTGAATTAGAAAGCTTCGATATTTAGTTTTCAGTCAAGTTTTTCAAAGTCACTTATCATCTCAATTAGCAAAGCAAAATATGTAGAAGAGTAATAAATTATCAAATCTATATTTATTTATAACTGTACTATTGATCACGCAATCGAAGCAGCAAACACTCGACATACCAATAATAGAACTCTATCCATATATCGCAGAAAAAGGGTGACAAACATCAACAAACTGCTTGACAGTTCTAAATACTATACAAAACTAGAAGAATCTACTAGGTATGTGGAAAAAGAAATAGTTATGAAAGCAGCTATACATGTATCTACTTCCTCTAAAACTATTAATTTTAGAATAAATCAATAGAAACTGATTTTTTTTTAATGGAAATACTAGCGATAGTTGAACTAACAGACTTCTCGCGTAAAGAGATCGATATAATTTTTAAAAGCATAAGATACAGAGAACATGAACTCTATGCTGAATTGAATTTTATTGTTCAAGTTTGAAAGTTAATGAAGACATTGCTGTTGAATTGAATAATTCGATTTGGTTTCGATCTCTGTCAGATACATGTAGCAAAAAGCTTGTATTTTTCTTAATAAAAAAAAATAGCTATTTGTAAACGATAGTTATAATATGAAATGGGATGATTGTCAAGATTTTCGTCTCATGGTATTGATGGTATGGAACAACATAGGATCGTTTCATCTCATGTGGAACTCTGATAAACATGCAATCGATTAATAATTGAATACAAAAGAAAAAGAATTGAAAGAGAAACAAGATCTTTTCTATTTTTCTTTTTTTTTAAAAGGATTTTAAGGGTTACAACAAATAACATTTAACAATAATAATAGTAATAATAAAAATCTTGCTTTTATTTCTTTTGTTGCTCTGATTCTTGTTGATTATTTTCTTCCTCACTTGTTTCTTCTTCACTATCAAATGAATTTTCCGGTACACTATAAATCTATAAAAAATATTAAAAATTTCAATTATGTATATTTTGTCATCAAATTAAAATCATCTTACTCGAAGAATTGGCTAAAAGAAAAACAAAAATTCATTAAATTAATAAAATTCAAAATTAAAATTTTTACCTTCATTGGATCTTTCATAATCAAATATCGTCCATCAGGTTTATTCATAAAAAAATCGACCAAAACTTAACAATCAAATATTTCAGTTTAAGCTTTTTTTTCTATTTATATTTTTCATAAATATACCTCGTACAATACCCCAACCATTGTCTATATTTAAAGCCATTTGTGTTGCAAATTCTTGTGGTTTAAAATTTTGCATGCCAAGTATTGTATGACGTGATGCATCTTTAAAATTTTGTCGTGATACATAACCAAATTTCATTTGATCAGAGCCAGCCAAAATGGCACACGTTGACCATTTAGCTAATTTAAATCCATTATTACGTAATTCAGCTGCTAATACAGCACCACGTTGCATATCTAATTTCGTTCGCCAATCAAGACTATTACCAATCTAAATATTTTTGTTTTTCTTGATAAAACTAATATATTTATTATTTTTTTTTGTTTGTGGTATAGTCAGAGAGAGGTAGTTAGATCTCCTTGCTAAAAATAAATAACAAGGAAAGTTCTCCATCTGAAAAACTGCTTTTGAGCTGAGACTATGTGCATTATGTCGATTCATATGAGCTATGAATGTCCTGACAAGAGCTTTTGTATTCAGCTTATTGTTGCGGAAATACTCTATTTTTATATGAGTGCCGTGTTCCCCCTTAGGAACATCAGATAAATTGATTTTCGAATTTTGACTCGAAACTATGCATAGAGACAGATCTTAATGAGATTAGTTTATTGTGAAAGTTTCAGGTCTTTTGATTTGCTTCTATCCTGAAATAAGAAAATAAAATCTACCGGTATATATGAGCGATGTAAAAGACACGCTATTATCATAGTTGTATCTTAGGATAGGCACAGTGAATGGTACGATCTAAAATATTCATAATAAATTATTTTCATAAAGGTCTTCCTCTATGCAGAATTTTAATTCGAAAATCAGTTTTTCTGATGTTCTCGAAGAGAAATAAAGCATTCATTTAAAAATGGAGTATCTCCACAATAATAACCTAAGGGCATGAACTCTTTTCAGAATATTCAGAGTTCCTTTGGGTCTACATAATGTACATGGTTTCGACTCAAAAGTAATTTATCAACTCGAGAACTTTCCTCGAAGGCCTGCCTATAAAAAGGTGTGAGCTCTCTCTAGACATGTGATCAAAGAGGTCTCTGCTTTCTCTACAGATATGGGTCACAGGTCTGACAAGGTTATGTTTTCAACATAGTATAGACTCCAGTAAGATATAAAAAATCTCAAAAGGATAAATCTGCTTAGGCCTTCTATCCAGAGTTATGAACATCTACTGAAATTCCAATCTTCGGCTGAGTATATACCAACAAGTTGAATGATAGTTTTTCGAACTGAGATTTTTCTCAGAGGCAGGTCTCTCTTTCAGTACAATATTCTGAAAATTTCAATTCAAAAAATGTTTCCTTTCCGACATATTAAATTTCCAAAAAAATCACTCATATTTCATGAAAGATGCTAACATTTTTTGTTTTTTGGGGCTTTAATATCACGGAAAGAAAGTATTCTTTTGAACTGAAATTTTCAGGGCATTCTACTGACAAATAGACCTGTCTGTGGGTAATATCTTAGGTTGAATATCATCATTCGATTTGTTGTTATATCTCACGCCAGAAGTTAGAGTTCCCGTAAAATGCCTATAGCTTCAGATAGAAGATCTAAGGGAACATCTCCTTTTGAAGTTTTTCTATATGTCATTGGGATCTACCTTATGCACAGAGTGGAACCCGTCTGGTTGATCTCGGCTCGGATCTGGTCAGGTCCAGGTTCAGGTCCAAAAATTTCGGATTCGATGGGCGGCTCTAGTATAGAGTCTGAATTCAAAAGCGATTGATCGATTGAAGATGTATCCTCGTGAGTCCTTCCCTCTTCTCTTCCAACAACGATTTGCTAGTTATGTCACTATCTTTTTTGTCTAAATACCTTCGGATTCCATTCATTTAGTGCTTTAATATTAACGAATTGTTCTTCACCATTAGGTCCAATTTGAACACAATCTTGTTCGCAACGAATAACAATTGTTTGATTATTACCTAAATCCCATGAACGATAACGATAAGCAACTGATGCAGCTTCATTTTCTTCATCAGGTTGAATAAATGGATTTCGATTTGGAAACTTATATCGTTCTTCATTCTAAAAAGAAAACTTCAATATATTTATTTATTTATTTAAGAAGCATTCAAATACCATTTTAAGAACTTGTTGTGCAAAATTATGATTAATAAAAACAGCTTCCATTCCTAAATTTTTTGCTGAATCCATTGTACCATCTTCTGGTGGTGGTTCATTTGCAGTTTCATTTATCGTTAACATATCTAATTACAATAACAAATTATTATAAATCTACAAATCATTTTCCTTACCAATGGTTGAATCTTCTCGTTTATCAAAAAACAAACGTGTACCTAATTTCTAATTTACAAAAAAACACAAACATATATATTTCATTTCATTAAAAAAGAAATGATTTCAATTTTACATCAACAACAATATCCCATGGATAAACAGATCTTGTACAACACATTAATGTTGAAATAATTGCATCAGTAGCAAAAACATTTCCATGTGTTTTACAAATCTAATTAATAAATAATATTTCAAATAACAAAAAGAAGCTCCATTTTAAGTCTTTGACTAACTTGTCGAATAACTGGATCTTTAGTTGTAGTTATTTTATGTATTAAACGATTAACCATAATTAATTTCTTTTCAGTTTTTGTTGTTATTCGATCATATCGTTTATCATAATATTCAAGTGAACCCCAAACACTCCTATATATTTTCATTAAAATTTATTAAAATTTATTAATATAGACTTACAATTCCTCAGGTTCATTAACGTTTGGTAAACTTAATTTAGCAAGACTAGTAAATGGTATTTCTTCAATAACTTGCCAATCTTCTCGTACACGTACAGATGGATCACGTTGTTTAGCTTGTTGCTTTTAAAAATAAAGAAAAAAAATATATAATTAGTTTTATTTCAATTTTTTGTTCGAGAATAGTGAATTAATTTTTTAAAAATCTCAAAAAATCAGTTTGGATGGAAAATTTTTGTATTTTCATTATTGTAATTCTAAACTAAAAGTTCGGATCTTTTTATGTATATATATATATATCAGCTTGTAGATCTGAAGTTATCCTACAAAATTAACTATTTGAAGTATTTTTTTCTGTCTTTTGACAAGGCGCATCAGTTTTCGTTTTTCATAAATGCTTGTTTTTTAAAAAATCGACAATCGTTTTATGTTGAAAGGAGCTCTTGAAAAAAATGCTTAGATAAAAGCTACAGCTTAGTTTCAACATCACATTTTGTAGAGAACTGTTCATTCTACAAAACAACCGACTTCGATGATCTTTAGCATATTCGAAATGAAACTTATAGGGTAAACAGAAACCTGTCGACTCACCGTTTTCAGATCTTTTAAAAAGTTTTTCATTACTGTTGAACGAAAATAGACACAACATTTCTAAGCCCATATTCAAATTCTGATCGCAATCAATACTGAAATGCTTTCAAACAGGCTAAAAAGAACCAACATATTCACCAGAAATGTCGACCAACAAGTTCAATCCAATACAATTTTTTTGAGTTTTTTAAAGATTATATCACTACTCTCGAACAAAATCTGAGACTAATTTAAATCGAAGAGAGTCCAAAATTCTGGCCCTAACTCATAGCTTTTGACTTGTTGGAAATACTTTCAAGCGGATCAAAAATGAACAACATCTTGTTTAAAAAATATCCGATCACTCGTTATTTCGATAGATTGAATCTAGCATCTTCAACAACAATGTACAATATATTACGTTACTTGTTTTCTCTTTTAATAAGTAACGTGTATTAATCATTAAAGAGAACTCAATACATGTATTGATAGAAAAAGATATGTATTCGAGTAAATATATGGATATCCAACCACGTTTTTTGCATTAACTAGATGAGAAATGGTCAGAGAATAACTTTGGCTGAAAAAGTCTGCCGACTTTTGCCTGCGCTGGTGAAGATTCAGAACATTTTCTACGAACGTTGAACGAAGGTACTATTAGTAATTGCAAGCTATTAAATTCATACTTTGCCTATAGATAGAGGACATCTAAGTTTGTATAACTTCCAGAGGATACTTCTGTTTATTGAGATTTGATCGAGATATGAATGTTTCAAAACATAATATTTTTCTAAAATAATAAATACATGGAAAATCTCAATAAGTAGAAGGACCATTTGGCGATTGTACTGACCTCCTCACATGATAAAGGTCATGACCTTCTATTATGAAAACTTACATCGCTCCTTCAAATGTAGCCTTCTGCTCTGGACTAATTTTTTTTCTAATATTTGCCAAGAAAATCAAGGCTTTTGAAAAATTCTTCTGGTATTCAAACAGATGTTTTTAGCAAATAAGAGCCTCATACCTAGAATTTTTGCTAAGAAAAATCCCTTTTTACTAGAAAAAATAGTCATTTTTTTAATGATGTTTTATTCAAAATCCAGATTTTTAAATGCTGCAATCTAAATAAATTCGCTAGATTTCAAAAAAAAAACTTTTAGAAAACTCATGACCTCCTATTAGACCTTTTAAAAATTTTCTTATGGGTAGCCTTCTAATGGAAGATCGTACTTTATTCTTTGAGAAGAGTTTAGTTCAGATCAGAGATAGGATCGATTCGTGTTATGTTGGAATCGAACCAATCCCATTTCTGGTTCAGATATTCTTGACTTATAGTTAAAATATGAGCTCAACAGCTTGAAATTACTAATAGTATCTTCATAAGAAGTTGGTAGAAAATGCTCTGAACTTGCGTCGATAAAAAAAAACTTTTTCTAGAAAACTAGTTCGATATTCATATCTTACATATTGACGTGGATCAGTTCGATTGCCAAATTGTTTTTGCCATTTTCTCATTTGTCGCATTTGATCCCTAGAATTCATAGAATAAAATAAGAGATAATAAACAATTAAATAGATTACATTTCTAAATTTTTCATTATTTTAGATTTTTTCTGTGGTCCTGTAAATGTTTTTTGCATTTGAGCAAAACGATTATTTTGATTTTGTTGTTGACGAAAACGCTAGAAAAAAAAATTAGTTATATCATTTTCAAATATTATTATGTTGCTTTTACATTTTGTTGAAAACGCGTTCGTTTTTGATAAGCCGGTTTAGGTAATCGAGTTGAATCAACAAGTTGAAATGTATTTTCATCATCTTCATGAATATATTGATACATTCCAACACCAACACCAAATTGTGAACGATATCGATCTAAGAAAAAAGACATTTTTTTTAATATTAATTTAAATTTCTTTTTTTTTTGCTCATTTTGTTTACTATTTATTCGTTTATCACCATAAATAGTTCCTGTCCAATCAGCAATCTAATATATATTTTCAATAGTAAAAAGAAAAAATAATATAATAAATATGTCATACTTTTCCTAATTGATCACCTTTGGAGTATGGTTGATAGGGCATGTCTTTATATTGAAACGTGTCTTCTGTTGGTCCCCAACCATCTTTATTCTCAATAACAACTGGTGCTTGAAAATGAACTTCAGGCATGCTTGTTTTCTTTCTTATGATTAATCAAAGATATCTGAAAAATAAAATATTGATTGTTGTTATTTTTTTTTCTTATTAAATTAATAAAAACTAGTTGATGATTGATGAGAAAAAATGTGATAAATTTTCTTAAATCATAATTTATTCAGCTCATTTTACTATGAACATGTCTTCACTTGAGGATACGACAACTGAAACAGCATCGAACATAATCAAACAATGGCTTTTCAATTCACCTTCACATGGAATTCGACGAATAGGTCGAGCAAAAACATTTCTAGCAACTCTTTTTTGGATATATATTTTTTGGATATTTACAATATTAATGTGTGCTTTTATTTACACTGCTATTATCAATTATATTACTCATCCAACAAAAATTCATTTAAGTATAAGACAATATCGAGATCCTACTCATTTTCCAGCTATTACTTTCTGTAAATAGATTATTTTTAATTTAACAAAAACTATAAAAAAAATTTTTTATTATAGGTAATATCAATCCTCTTCAAAACGATGGATTTCTTAATGATGTAAGAAAATCTCGATTACCAGGTCGTAATACATCTTTGCATGTAAACAAATCGGAATATCGAAAAGCTTTTTCTGCATATATCGATAGAATTCTTGCTGCTCAAGTTAATGGCGAAACACATCCCTTTGTTCAATGGGGTTTTAAATTGGATGATCTTCTTATAAGATGTATATTTAATAAACGATTTTGTTATCGAAATTTAACACAATTATTTCATCCAAGTTATGGAAATTGTTATACATTTGATAATGATAATAATGTGCAAGAAAAAGAAACAAATGAATTACGTCATGATTGGTCAGTTGATGATGATATTGGACATAATAATTATAAATTATATCTTGAATTATTTCTTCATCAACCTCAATATAATGAATATTTAGATGGTCGAGCAGCATTTCGTATATTTATTCATCGTAAACATGAAGTACCTATTCTATCGCAAAATAGTCTTTTCTTAAGACCAAATAAATATACAAAACTTAGTTTTTCACAAAGTATTACATCATTTTCAGGACAATGTCGAAATGAACTAACCGATGATATGAAACAAATATTTCGTACGCATAAAATACGATATACACAAGCATTATGTTATAAATTATGTAAAAAACGTTTTCTGGAAACACAATGTAAATGTATAGAACCAACATTAGCTGTTTTTTATCAATTTTTTAATAATAACAATTTTAATAATACTCAAACAACAAAAAATATTAGTTTATGTTCAATTGATGATGAATGTCTTTCTCAGAGTATTTATTTTAGTAAGTATTGAATTAAAAAAAAACAACAAAAAAAAATACTTATTAGTTCTTTTTCTAAGATTCAAGTGAATTATGTCAGGAATGTTTACCTGAATGTGAAATAATTCAATATTCAGTTCAATCGTCTTACGCACGTTATCCCAATCCAAAGGCATATCCTCAAGTTTTAAAACGCGTTCAAACACATTTTCGTCGCAGCACACAAGTTAATTCTTCTTCAAATACATCCAATGAATTACTAACTAATTTTCGTCCGGGATTACGTGATAATATTGTAGCAGTCGAAATCTCTGCTAGTCCATATGCAACAGAAATTCTTACGGGATCTCCAATGTATACATGGGTTGATCTTATATCAAGTATTGGTGGTCAAACAGGTTTTATTGGAATTATTTTATTTATTTAAATTATTCTTGTTTTTTTTTTTGTTTAGGTTTATGGATTGGTGTGAGTTTAATCAGTTTCGTTGAAATCACTGAATTATTACATTTACTTATTCTTCGTTTCTATGCTTATTTTTTTTTTTCTGAAGCAAAAAAATAAATAAAAGACAAAGAAGTCCTAATGAATTCAAATCTATTTTTAATAATTTACAAAAATACAAAAATGAGAAAGAAAAAAAAAAAGGAGAAGTTGGAATGATGAAACTCACTGTTTATTTTTCTTTTTTCTTTTCTTTTTTTTTATGGAAGTATAGAAATTTTTTGTAATGCATTACGTTCAATTAAATTTAAATGTTGTTGAAATATAGTAAACCATGAATGTCGTGCAAATAAATGTAAACGTTCTTTTAAATAATCAAGTAAATCAACTTGCATTAATGGATCATTAAATGCATCTGGATCTTTTTCTTGAAAAAATTCATAATCAAAAACATCATCAAGTAAATTATCATAACGTTCTAAATATTTTGTTGCTTCATCATCAGTTGATTTTAATAAATTTGCTTCATTTATTTCTTCATTATCTTTTTCTTCACTATCATCTTCATCATTATCGTCATCATCATTAAAATTTGCATCTTCTTCAAGTTCTTTACGTGTATTAATTTGATTTTGTAATTCAAGTACAAGAATTTTAAAAAGTTTTACAACTAATGGTACACGTGTCCATTGTTCAGGTTGTTTAGAAGTTTTTGAACGTGTACGATGTGAAACTGAATGACCTGTTTGATGATAAATTATTTGATCACCTGGTACAATTAATGTTTGAAAACGTACATCATTATTTGTCATAGCATATTCTAATAAGCCAGTTAATGCAATAATACTTAAATAATTGATTTTCTTGTTCTGAGAAAATATTCTTATTTATTAAAGAAAAATTTTTTACCTGACTTTAATATCATATGGACCAGAAAAAAGATGTTGTTTAATAACCCATTCATACATAACAAAATCAAATGCACTACTACCTTGTGGTCCAGGAGTTGAAGTGAGGAAATTCACAACATCATTGAGATTATTTTGAATTAAATGAGCAAATACAATGATTAAACTTTGTTGTACACTAAGCACTTGTGAACCTAAATATTTTGGATTCGAAATAGAGTTCAATGATTTTGTCATGATTTAGAAAGACTTAATTCACTATCAATATCAAACTAATAATAAAATGCATAAACTTGCTTTAAAATCACTTTTCTCTAATCCATAATACTTCATATCTCCTTTTTGATAATCATCATATCGATTATTAATATTCTGTATTTAGAGAAAATTGATCACGCATGCAAATACAGATACTAGTAAACCTGATCGTATGTCTAAATGAGAAATAATAGATATCTAGGAGGTCCTTGCAAGGTATATTTTCGAATCGTGAGATCAATAGATTTTTTAATTGATAACATAGTTTTATTTAGCTATGAGTGGTACCATCTTGTTCACATCTATTTAGAACACATGAAGTCATGACTATATGACATTCAACGTATGTTTTACACTACCATAAAAGATATCGTTGCTAATGAAGAAACATCGGAAGGAAGGAAGAATCTCCGCCTTTCGGCTATCTTGTGATATAAGGTGCTGCTTGGCAGCAGTTTCATTAGCTCGATATCTTTCCTAAAACTATTACTAACTGTAGTTCTAGATAGAAGGCTAGCCTGACTCAGAGTTCGCTCGCTCAATTGCTTGAGCTTTTCATGCACAGAGACTAAAAGAATTGATGTATATCGTCACGTAGTCAGTCTGCTATTAGATGGATGATCCGAGACAAATGACCATCAATGACTTGTCCAGGGTCATTCTATGACTAGTGACATCAAGATTTGAACATAGTACCTTATGGATACGTGCCGAACAATTTACCTACCCAGCCATGACGGCAAAAGTGTTGGTTCTGATAACGATTTCTGCTGATAAAAATTTGGTTCCGAGACGGAGATCCTCTTACTCATATCTAGCTTTATTTTTATCTTGTTAACGAGTCTCACAGCACTGCTAAAATATCTTGAGATTATTTACGAAAATATACCGTAACTGTTTCTTGGCTTTTGAACTCGAATTTAACGTACAATAAGGCATTGATAGGACTAAGAGAAGTAGAAAAACGGTTTGTGTTGATAGTTTTCTGTTAAGACGTTTGGATGAGTTTTCAACTTCGTTGTACCGTATTGTCAAGAAGTTCAAATAAAGGAATTTTGATCTAACACTTTCCCTGCCGACAAGTCCAATTATTAGTAGAGTTTTCGTGAAATTTTCACAAGAAATGAATATCTTCCTCTCGAAATAATAAATTTACAATTAGACCTGAGGAATTATGTGTTTTTTGAGACAAGTGACTATATTTTGTCATTTACCTATCTCGAGAAGAACACATTAGTTTCTTTTGAAAATGTCAGGTCAAAATTAATGTATTTGAGGTTCTCGACAAAACCGTACTATGGATCTGAAATTTTTACTAGAAGCATCTCTCACCAGAGCTACTCATTGCTGAACATTTCAGTTCAAACGAACCATTCTAAGCAGATGTCCTTAAGTTACATGGCTCTATGAAAAAGTACAAACAAGTGTGGTCGATTACAACTAAAGCCTATTAGATTGGTCCGAAACTCGACCAGATCGAGGCTAAAGTTTTAAACTGGCCGAACTCTAATTACAATTCATAAGCGTTATTTTTTTTTCTTCCTGAGATACAAACGATTATATAATTATGAAGGATTGGTGAACGATGAGCACGAGGAACGATGAGCACGGAAACTTAAGCACAGGAACGATAAGCACGAGAATGATCAGCACGAGAACGATAAGCACGAGGAACGTTAAGCACGAGAACGTTGAGCACCGAAAAGTTCAGCACGAAAAATAATAAGGACTTGAGATATGGGTGTGGTGTATGTGAGTGGGTTTTCTGGAGCTATGGGAGCATGCTTGTCTGAACTTACATAAGGACCTGGACCTTAACAAAAATAAAAATTTGAAGGGTGCGAGTATCAGTGTGCTTGTATATATGAATGTCAGGGTTGTAGAAACTATTAAATCCAAGAATTTCTAGACCCCAATTTGACCGACCGATTAAATTTTTTGGCACCTAGTCGATAAACGTTGTTCGAACCTAATCGATCACTATTGCTGAATTCGGGCCTAATTAACTAATCTTTTGTGAGTAGAGCCCATCGGACCCGAAAACATTTTTTCCGAACCCAGTACATTAAATATTCAGAACAGGATTAAGTGGAGTCTGTGTAAGTATAGACGAGCTCTAGTGGATGTATGTGGGCGGTGGGAGGGGGTAAACGTGTGATTGTGAATGTGTTGTAGATGGCACAGAATCCGAGATGAGCGCAACCAATCGTTTTTGGTCTCGAACCCTGCGGGACCGGGTCGAGGACCATGTTGTCCACGTCTACACAGAAGATCAGAATTACACCAACGCACAACTCCACACCAACACTTACATCCACGCCTTTAAGTTTGTTTCGTGCTGAAATTTTTGTTGCTCAACATTCCCGTGCTTAACGTTCCTCGTGCTGAACATTCCTCGTGCTTATCGTTCCCGTGCTGATCATTCTCGTGCTTATCGTTCCTGTGCTTAAGTTTCCGTACTCATCGTTCCTCGTGCTCATCGTTCCGGTTCCCAATTATGAATAAAATCAATTATTATATTTCATTAATCTTACTTTGAAGTTTAGCTAAAACAGCTTTAAGTATTTGTCCTAATGTATCTCCAAGTAAACTTGGTTGATTTGTTTTATTAATTTCTCTAATAAAACCTCGAATTAATTTTCCAATAAATGTACAACAATTTTCTGGTGTTTTTGGATCAAGAAATTTTGCAAGTACTTGTAAAATATATTCAATACTTGATATATTTGTTTTTGGATCATTCCATGAAAATAAATCAGTAGATACACATGATAAAAATGCACATAAACATTCACCACCATTTATTAATATTTGTTGATCATCACTTGTTAAAAGTAAATGTATAACAACAGGAAATGTTTGATTTAATAGATTTGAATTTATTGGAGGATTTAATGAACGAAGAACAGTTGTTAAAAGATCAAGAACTGAAAATGCAAGACTTGGTGCTATACGTGGTAATGTTGTTGATACAGAATTATTATCAACTATTGATTGAACTAATGGAATAAGTCGTTCTTGAATTAAATGTGATACTTTACTATTATGAACAAGACCTTTTATTATACTAAAAGAAAAGAAAATTTAATCGATTAAACTACAAAAAAAATAAGACTATTTACGCTGTTGTTTCACCATTAATTAATGGATCTTGTACATAATTAACAAAAAGTTCAATAGCTAATGGTGATAAACGATTTTCAATTGTTGATACAAAATTTTCATCAACACTAATTAATATAGCTAATGATTCTAATGGCCATATATATGCTGATTGTGGTATGCGACTCATTGTAGCAAGTATACCTTCAAATATACGTGGAAGGTAATTAATAACATCATTTGTTTGATCAACACCAACTTCTTCGCAATAACTTACAGAAAGAAAAAATAAGATATTTTCTTTTTCAATTTATTTATTCTTAACTTACTAATAAAATGCTCTTAATGATGATAAATTGATAATTGGATGTTGAGCATGTTCTAATAATTGACAAATTCCATCTAAAAATCTTTAAGAAAAAAAAAAAATAGTCGAATAATTATTTAAATATATAAAATTAAGTTTAACTTACATTCGATTTACGTCTATACTTAATAAACGTGAAAAACGTCCAGCAAATAATGCAGCTTGACATACAAGATATGGATAATCTAAAGTTAAGATGAATAAAAAAAAAGAAATTAATTGAAATATGCTTTTTTTTTCTTGTTTTTCTTTACCAAATTGAGATAAATCAGCTAATGGTACTTGTCGAATAAAAGCATCAAGATCAATTTTAACATAACCAGTAATTAACATATCATTTAATAATTGTTTACATCGACCCATAGCTAAGAGACAAGCTTCATGTAATTTCCACCTAGATTAAAGATTTATGAATGAAATATTTAAAAAGACATTTACCATCGAGATGAATTATGAGTTTTTAATGCTTCGGCATGAGATAGATGACGACTAGAAGAAAAAAAACAACAAGTACAGAATTTATTGATTTTCTGATTGTGATTATGAAGTATTGTACGTATTAAATCATTTTAATTTAATAGTGATGATAAGGCAAATATTTGTAAAGCACAACAAAGAAGACTACTCATTAAAATTTCTATTTTTTGTTTCCTGGTTAAATACACAAGTCATTAATCAATATTTTCATATAAAATAAAATTTCAATCTAATGCTTTTTCGTGTTCAAAAGATAAACTTATTAGAGAATAAGTCCCGCAAGTGGAGAATTAATTACTTTTGACTCGATACTGAGTGCATCGTATAGATTCTAATGAGCTTGAAATACTATAAAGAAATTTTGGGTGCTTAGCTCTTATTGCTATCACACTCAATGCTACGTCCTCATTGGAAACATCAAGAAACCTGATTTTCGAATTTTAACTTGAAACTTTGTGAGGAGACAGTAGAGATGTTCATCACAACTGGGAAACTGCTGCTACCACAATGGTTTTCGAGAGATTCTGCGAAAATCTCTGCCGCCACTGTGCTAAATTAGCACTGTTAGGTTGAATTAATCAGATTCACCACGATTCTGACTCGTGTAGACATTCAAATCGGATGCAAATCCATGCAATTTTACAACCTTTCTAAAAAAAAAAAAAGCTACCGCTACGGGTATTTCTAAAAGACAAATCTTAATGAGAATAGTTTATTGTGCAGGTTTCAGATCTTTTCATTGTTCCTATCCCAAGATACGTTTATAGTAAAGCCTATCTATTACATCGTTTATATACATCAGTAGATTCGATGTTCTTATTTCTGGATAGGAGTAAATCGAAAGATCTAAAACTTTTACAATAGACTACTCTCATTAGAGCTTGTCTTTGTGCAAAGTCAAATTTTGAAAACCATTTTTTCCTAGTGTTCTCGAGAGGAACCACGGCATTAACTTAAAAGGTATCGTACAACTGTAATAACTCTGCAGCAATAACCTAAGGATTCGAACTTTTTTCAAAGTTTATTAGAATTTATCTACTGCACATAGCCCTGACTCCAAAGCGACTAATCAGTTGGTGGACTTCTCTCGCCAGATATTGAAATTTTGAAGTCTTCAATAATAATAAGATATTTATAATTTATATAGTCATATGTCTCCTATAGAAACTATATTATAGACAACTGAAATCAACTATAACATCTTGAAAAGTCAATCAATTTGCAATGCTTTTATCTCCTAATGTTATGAAACAGACAATGAAGATAGAAGATATGATTCGTGATAACGTTGTATAAATATAGCATGGATACTACAGTTAATCCACATCTGTTAGTCAATACATATATATACATAGCTTCCAATATTATGGCAATAAAACAATAGACTCGACAACTATCTATAGTTTTCTGTAACAAGGACACAGTAACAATTATTTTTTGCGTCAAAATAAAAGAGAAGTGGATGTACTCTCAATAACGGTAAAAGCTAACGACCTGCAGTTTTCATCAATCGACAAAAGAGAACTCTGGATGTCTTTTTATCTGATACTATATAAAACAATATTATCTTAAAATCTATCATCTTATCTTAAATATTATCTGAGAAAAAGATATCTGAAGTTTTTCTTTTTCGATTGCTGAAAACCCCAGGTCGCTAGCTATTGTTATTATCAAGTTATTAATCTTTCACCCACCTTCTCTTCAATTCTAGTGCGGACATTAGTAAACGATACATTGCATAAAACTAATTTTTCAACTAATTCAAGTCAGCAATAGATTTAAAATGCTTATCAAGTTAACTTACTGTACAGCTTTCCATAGACCAATTCCTGCTTCTTTTTTAAATTCACTTGTTATTGACTATAAAAATCAAAATCAAAAAAAATTCTTCAAATTAAAGAATAAAAACAAAATTGCTTAATAATACCAAAAGTAATTCTAAAGCAGATAATCTAACAGAATGTGAGAATGAATCATCACTTTCATCTTCAACATAACGCGAAACATTTTTTGACCAAGAATCATACTAAAATTTTACAACAAAAAAAAAAACAATAATTTTAAAATATGTAAAAAAAAAACAAAGAAAGATAAAATTTTACTTCTTCTTCTGTTATTTGCATACACAATATTAAATAATAACATAATTCTTCCATAGATGATTTAACAGAATTTTTATACATTGATAAATCCATTAATACTTGAACAAATTCAAATAAACTATAAATTAAACATTCAAAACTTAATGTTTCACCTATTTTAAACAAAAAACGAAAAAGAAGTCAAATTTATCATGAAATTTTTACCATCGGAATCAACTGATGCATCCATTTCTCCATGTTTATATACAACGGTAGCAACATAATTTTCTGTATTTGATGTTAAACATGTCCATACAGATTGTAATAAATCTGATGCATTTTGTTGCATTAATTTTGGAAAACTTTTAAATAATAATGTTAATGCACGTATTGTTTCTATTCGACAACCTGTATCTGTCATTAATGATGAATCAGGTGCAATAAGAAAACGTTTAAATGCTTCACAATAATGTGATAAATATGGTAAAATATAACCAACAGATAATATTCTATCATGTTCATTTATATCATGTACAAGTGAAACAAGTAATGTAAATACACCAATAGCACGTGTACGTATACGTAAAGTAAATTCATTTGACACCATTAAACGATACATTTCAGGTAAAAGTAATGGAAGAACATATGGTAATTGACGATCATCAAGATCACGAACAATTTCAGTTAATACACGTATTGAACCATGAATTAAAGATTTATTCGTTGATTTTAATGATTCAATTAAAAATGGTAATAATTCAGGCCATGATTCAGGAAAATCCCATTCGGCTACTGCTGATATAACACAAGCAAGACCAACACGAAGTCGATGATTTGGCTCATTTAAACCATGAGGAAGGCTGTGACGTATCTGACTTTTTACCTGAAATAATATCCAATAAGAGAATGTTATACATTGATATAAATTTCTGTTAAAAAAATTCTGACTATTTTATTTCATGTAATATTTTTCATGTACTATTTCAGTTAACAAAGAAACTGCTCGAAATGATACCTACTGCTTGAGTTCATAAGGATATCTCAGTAAGACGAGAAAAATTCGCAAAGGGCTCGTGTCCATGGGCCTCAAAAGTCGAGTTATGACCGTTTTACTAAATTTTCGATCCAGCTTTAGATATTTACCAAAAAATCAAGTAATCGAATTGCGACCTGACGTTTTGCCCATAAATAAGTCTGATGATTCCAAGAAGATTCTGAAAGTTTCAGTCAAAAAGAATGTTTCTTTGTCGAAATATTAATTTCTAAAAAATATTGGTTGTTTGCCACAAAATCGAATTTGCTTGGAAATTCAGTACCTTTACAAATGAACATCTTTTTTTTGCCTGAAACTGTTAGGATATTCCCAGAGTCATTAGATCTACCTATAGGCAAAATTTCAGGTCGAAATTTCGCTAGTTGATTTTTTCGGTAAATACCTAAAACTTGCTCGAAAATTCAGTAAAATGGTCATAAGTCGATTTCAGAAATCCATGGGTACAAATCCTTTTAGAATTTTTCTAGTCTTACTGAGACTCCCTCTTGGAAACAATATGAGCTCAAACAGTGAGTATCCGTTCGAATAGTTACCTCGTAGGACACCTTATATATCAATCTATACTAAAGTCCTGCATCGAAATCCGAAACTCGACTTAGACGGAGTCGAAGTTTATATAAATTGTAGAAACTCCGAAAACTCTAATATTCTTTTTTTTCTTATATAGTATTTATTTTTGAGAATTGTAATATTCAGTAAACAAAAACTGTCATTCCAATAGCTAAATAACACGAAATAGAAAAAAAAGCGTCAGATGTATGTTCATCATCACACCCACATCCAGCCGGAATAATATTCGAGTAGTAATTGTTTTTTTATATCGTTGCAGTCATGTATAGAACTCACTCTGTAAGTCCTAGTGCTTCTCTAAAGGTACGAACCAATTATAGCTTGATTCTTAATAGATCATCGTCAAAATTGCCTGAGAAACATGCCAAGTGCGCTAGTCACTGAATACAAATAAATAAAAAGTGTCTCGAAGTGTCGAAGCGATTATCAAATTTGGATGAAAAAGCTTCATTGGAAGTATGATTCGATTCCGGACCCAAGTTCGATAAATCTAGTCCCGATCTAAAAATTTGGAATCAGAGAGGTTCTAGCCATGTGTAAAAAAAACTATGATGGTGTTACCAATTTAAATACACATATTATGCTAATGATTTGTTATTGTTTTAGCTCTATATCTTACTAAGTTCAAGATTTTTCAAATATTTCCTTATAATCATTTTCTTAAATGTACTCCATATCCAATCTTCTGGTCATTTTCATTAATTTCTTTTAAATATTTTGTAATAATATGAAGTATTACTAATAGAATTTTATTAAGACATACTTTAATAAAAAGTACAACAAAACCTATTAAATTGTTCACTCATGGATAATGACTTTCATAAGATTACCAAAGTCGTACACGTTATTTTTGCTCTATATAATCTGAAATTTACTAAATATTCTATACAACATAGTACATTTGCTATACTTGGTATTAAAGTACTTGATAATAAAATGCTTATTGCTGATATTTCATAGTATTCAATATTTTTGAATAGGAATATATGACAATGAACAAGTTGGATACTAGATATATTTAATAAAATGATTATAAGGAAATACTTAAGAGTGAATGCCTAAGAAAATCAGACATCGACGATGGAGTGATATTTCAGACTTCGCTGATTTTTTGATAAGTTATAGAGAGTAGTGAATTTAGTATTTCCTGAAATTTTCAGCTCGATCGGACCACCTTTTCCAATATAAACAATTGAAATACTAATGAAATTTTTTGATAAGTTTCAATATTGATTTTTAACCGATTTTGAGGTGGCATTTTTTTTAGTAAAAGTGACTTTTGTATTTCAATATCTAAGACTTTTGAGTTCTGGTTTTTCTAACTATAACTGTTGAGGTATTTTCCTTCTAGGTACAAAATTTCAAAAGTTTTCGTCGATCTCATAAGATATCCTCAAAAAATCTATTTTGTCGTTTTTTCACCAAAATGTAGGTCAGTCGTATTTTATGCGGCAATAAGCAATCGCTCTGATATTTCTACTGGTGATAGAGCACATCAAGTTCTCCCACGTAGGCTATCTCACAATTTTGGCTCTTGAGAAAAGTAAAGCACTTTTGATTAAAAGTCAGTTTTTTCTGCAATTAATGTTATATACTCAATTTAGGGTTTTTTTTCGTGGCTAAATCCGATAATATCAAATAGTAAACTCTTTAGATTTGAATAAAATGTAATTCTTTTAGTGGCTTGTATTATTCTTGATTATTTATTGATCAAAAATAACAAGAAAGTTTAATAAATTTTAGTTTATCAATTTATTATCATATATTTAGAAATGAATGACTCTTGTTGTTTTACCTTTATATGGATATAGTATGAGAATATTTCATATATCTATAATCAGATATGTTTACAAATGAATGTGTTTTAAGTATTTCTGACATTAATTAGCTGTTGATGTCAAGCTACACTCTTGAGATTTCATATTTTTTTAATATAGTTCATTTATTTAGAAAAAATGTATATATAAAGAGAAATGCAGTCATAATCAGCAGTGTTCAGACTTCCGAAAAAGGAAATTTCGGAGGTTTCAGAGATTTCAATCATTTGTGTTCTGAATTCACGTTACTTCCTAAAATGGTGTAATTTCCGAAATTTCTGAAATTTCGCAATTATGTACTTACAGAAATTTCGGAAATTTCCAATATGTCTAAGAATTTTTGATTTGAGCTGCTATATAGTTATCGAGCTGATGGAAACTTCAGAAATTTGGGTAATTTCCTTTTTTGGAAATCTGAACATACCTCCTGATTTTCTCAGACACTTACTCTTAACAAGTTCTTGTTCTTTGTAAGTTATAGAGTTCATCTACATACTTGTTCGGGTACTTCAGGTTCAATAAAATTTTCAATATCTTTTGTCCAATGTTTGCTGACATATTTTCGAAGTAAAACACCAGCTAATTGTCGTATACTTATATCACGTTTAGTATCAATAGTTATTTCTGTTAATGCAAGTGCATATGTATCAAGTAATTCAAATGCTTGTAATTGTGTTTGACCTTTTTCAATTAGTTGTTGATCTGGTGTTATTATCATTGTTAATGTCTGTTCAATCATCGAACGAAAATCACTTAGTGATTCCATTTTACGTAAAAAGAAGGAAGTTAGTAAAATTATATAGATATATCTACAAATAAGAAAGAAAAAAAGATGTTTGTACAATAATACATAATATCAATCTTCCATGAAATGAATGGTATGATCCATGTTTATCTAAAACGTTTATATAGGAATTTCGGTGACATAGAACCAATAAAGAATACACGTGACAAAACGACTTTTAAGAATAATCTATATAGAAATCTGCAAGAAAATCATTTTTTTTTCAAAGCAGAAAATAAAATGAATTTCTTCAATTAGTTCCGAAAAACTTTTATCTCACATAAAGAAAAATTATTCGAATTAAATCGAACAAAGAACTAATCTACAAATGTCGATAATCTTTCATTAGAAATAATAAATAATACTTATATAAGAATAATCATATTTTCAAAAACTATTTTTATTATTAATCTAATCAAATAAAATACAAACAAAAAAAGTCTTCCTTTAGAATCTCCTAATTATATATCTTCTTATACTTTCAATCAATTTTTATTCATTAATCCAAAAATCTTCAATTGCCCAATTATTATTAAACGATATATATATTTTTATTCCTATTGCGAATAAATTTCTTTTCTTTTCCACCAATAAAATTCTTTATAAAAATATTTTTCATTAATATAAAGCGTTAATTGCAATGACATTTTTTCGTTGTATGTGGCGCTTTCATTTAGCAATAAATTTTAGCCATAAATATCCATGTCTATATTAAGGGGTAGCACGAGTATAAAAGGAACATTTTTGCTGGGGAGATTTTCGTCAGACTCAATTACAACATTTAAAGAAAAAAAGAGTCTAACCAAAACTTGTATAATAATTTAATGAAAAATATTTATTAAAATATCATTGTAATTCAAACGAGTGCATTATGGCTGCCAGTGATGTTGTAAGCCTTGAAAATTTTATTATTTTTATTTTTATTGCGACAAACAAAAAAAAAAAAACATCTATATATATATATTTAGAAAAAAATTTATCAAGACGTTATTAATGATGTTTGTACAGCAGTACGTGAAGCACTTTCAGAAGAAGGTTATGATGATCATACATTACAAGAACTTCGAACTGTAGAAAAAAATAAATAAATAAATCAAAGATTTTTATTAAACAAAAAAATATTTTATTTTTTTTTATAGTTATGGTTAGCAAAATTAGATAATTCAAGAGCATTAGAACCATTGCCAGTATCAATTGTTGATCACGTAACACATCGAGAATTTCGACATCCAAATACCGGTGAAACAAATAATGCTTCATCATTAAATAATAAACAAGCAACAGGAATGAGATTAAATCGTTTACATCCAGCATCATCTACTGCTGTATCTACTTTTAATACAACTTATGCAACATCAGCTACTAATAGTCCTATACTTTTATCGACAACAAATCCAGGTGCAAGAAATTATATTGGAACTAACTTTCCTAATAGACCACCGGTAACCAAAGAAAAAAAATGCGTTTTTTTTTTAATTAACAAAACTTTTTTTTTTGTTTTTCTTATAGAATCAAACAAATATTGGAAATAGTACAATGAAAGCATCAAATCAATTAGATGGTGCAAATGATGAAGTTATTTCTATTAACAGTACGAAGAAAAATAAATGTCAAAAGAAAAAATCAAAGATTATACATATATCATTTCAACTTGATGGAACAGGACCACCTGTAAATTTTATCTTTGTTATACATAGTTTATTATCTTCGTTTTTACATAGGTTGGCGATGATGAAGACGATGATGAAGACAGCGAATTAGAAGGAGTAAGAAATTTATGAATTGAACTAATTATAATAAGTATTCTTTTACCAGAGAAACTACTAATATTCTTAAAATTCTTTATATTTGGAGAGAGAATGATTTTAACAATCTGTCTCATTCTAATCTATGTCTAGCTTTTAATAGACATAATGGAAAACTGAAATTTCGGCCCGATCCAAAAATTATACAGGACCTTTAAATGGGGCCCAAATGTACTTCATTAATCCCTGTATAAAACCTTATTTCTATGAATAGTTGACATATCCCATAGTGCTCAGCTGAACTCATTAAACCAAATCATAGTTCTAGGTTTGTCGTTATTCTGGGTACAGTGCTATCTTGCTGATTACTACAAAATGTATCAACTATTCATAGAAATAAGATTTTTTACGGAAATTAAAAATATAAACTTGGGCTCAATCCGAAATTCATGTAACATGAAGCATTTTTCATTCATATAATTTTATATTAATAATCATTTGAAAAACTAGAAACTATTATATAAAATTCAGATATTATTCACTGTCGGTATGGATTTACAAAACATGTTTTCATTCTTTTCAAATCGAAAAAAATTAATTTCTGATATAAATGTTTGCAAATAAATTTGAATTTTTTCATTATTGATTTTCTAGTTAGTATAGGAAAGAAAAATTCATATGATATATTTTAGAATGATGTTGGAGATGAATTAGATGATGATGATGATGAAGATGGTAATGAAGAAGGAAAAGAAGATCCTAATCCACTTTGTTCAGATGATGATGTTAGTGATGATGAACCAGCAGAATTGTTTGATACAGATAATGTTGTTGTATGTCAATATGATAAAGTATAAAACAATATTTGAATAAACATTTGAAAATTTTTCTCTTTTGGCTTTTTTTGTGTTTTTTAGATATCACGTAACAAAAATAAATGGCGATTTATATTAAAAAGTGGTGTAATGAATATTGAAGGACGTGATTACGTATTCAGTAAAGCTGTAGGTGACGCCGATTGGTAATGTTATTTAATAAAGAAAAAAAAAACCAATACAATTGATTAAATAAAATGAAACATTATATATGGGATGTAACTTTTTCTTTTTTTTTTTGTTGTCCATTTTTCTCTCAAATTTGCTAATATATGTCTTCAAAAAAAAAAAATATGTATATGTGTTTATTGTCTTGGGTCTATTCATTTCTTCTTTTTGCCTTGTGCGGATCAGTTATTGTATGTCAAACTTTATGTTCTTTCATTGTTGTCACACACACACACACACACACATACGTTTATATAAAGATTTATGTTTCTTTATTTATGATTTAGAAAAGAAACGGAAAACTAAATAAAACAAAAGTTGAAATAAGATACTTTTAATTCATTCTTATTTCGAGTAAGAGATATGAACAAAATCATTCATTAGCAATATGACCTCACAAAATTAAAACATGTGTATCTTGAGATAATGAATTTTGCTATAGATAATTTTATATGTTGCGCGAATAAAAAAAAAATCAGCGCTACCCATTTGACACAAAGGAACATCGACTTTCACTTCATGTATTTCAGTTTAAAAATACCCTGAATTAAGGCAACATTTTTAAAAACTAAATAAAACATTCTGTAGATAAATTCTGAAACTACAAAATATCTATTCAAGGTTTTTTCTCAGCATGCTTAGATTTTTCAAAATACTTTTCGTTAACAACGTGACGGAGTACGAAAAAAATGTTCTTATGATCGAATGAAAAGATCAAGATCAATTCTAAACGGTACGAATCCTTCTTCAGAATCTCTAGATGATGGTAAGACAAAAATTTTTGTTTCGGAACTTGATAAGATCTCTATAAAATCAGTTTTAAGAAGAAACTTTTTCAAGTTTGATTTTGCTGAAAATTCTACCATGGATATGGTTCATGCTGTAGAAGCTATCGTGAAGTTTTTGGATGGTTTCTCTTACGATTAGAAAGATATGCGCTAATTACTTTTTAATTGACAGTCGGCTGACAGAGACAACATATGTCTATGCTAAAAGAACTTATTCTGAAAAGCAATCCTTGTAAACAATCCAAGTCAAATGAAGAATGGATATCTTCCGATTTGCTTGAAATGGCCCATATATTGTGATAACAGAAAAAAAATTCTAGAAAAGAATATATATGAAATTCTTATTTCTGTTATGAAACTACGATTATTAACCGTTCGAAGAGATTCGCCTATTTTCTAGCTTGTATGACAAACAGAAAACATTCACATTGATATGTAACTTGAAAAGGCATATTATTTATTAGATAGTTCCTGATAATGTCAAATGATGAAATATGATGATTAAATAAATGAGAAGCCCAATTGAATTGCTAATTTTTTGAAAACATTCATTGATTTTAATAAACAAAGTGTAAAAGTTATTTTTCGAAAAAAAAAAGAGTTGCTAAAAAGAACTAATTCATGAATAGGTTCGAATAACTCTATATAGATGGTTTATCAGTATCGTTGATAATATTTTATAGTATGTGATTATATAATTAACTCGATTCTTATCTAAAATCAATTCTTCTCGATTCATAAGTGTGGATAGATTAAGCCAAATAGGCTCATTTTTTTTGCGTTCGTCTATGCAGATTAAATACACTGATCGAATGTTTTTATAAATTACGCGTAAATTTATCATTGATAATCTGATGATAGATATATGACATGCCGAAATGTCTTCTATAAGACAGTGTTTTCCTCAGGACTTCACATAGGATGGGATGAGATTATTATGAGAAATCTTCTACCTTATCCCATGGGACTTGATCTTTGTCAAATATATTTTAAAAAAGGATCGAATGTGGGAAAATTTTTACGACATTCTCTGTTTTGCATGTCATTTTATTCAGATACACAATAAAAACATCGATCTTTTGGTCAAAAGATACGCTATCGAATATCCTACTTAAATCATAAGATCAAATCTATATAGCTATTTTCAAAATTTTAATAGGCTACTAAAACTAAACAAGTATGTCATCGTGTTATTTTCTAGAAGAAAAAATCTGAAAAGTTCAATTTATGATTGACAACAAAGGTCATTTATAATCAAATCAATGTTAGATAAGATGGACTATTCCAGGCATTACAAAAAAACTAAAACGTTTATCACTCCATCAATATTTCCTACGAGATCAGTACTGATTTCTTCTCAATGTATTTTCATCACCTGTAGTTAAAGTCAAGTCTTCATTGTATTA